TTTGGACAAATACAAAGATGAATGGAAAAACGTACCAAGAGAGAACCCACGGATGGATTAAGATGGTTTCTGAGGATGATTTACCAACCAATTTTAATCGAGCAAATTGTTCCTCAAACATGTTCAGCATTTTCAAGCAAAAAAACCAAAAAAATAATCATAATTTTTCACATTAAGGATTCTAAATTATTACAACTCACTAATGTTATGTACAAATTTATATGTTTAAAGTGCAATGTTTTCTGTTTGTCTCCATGGAGATGTTACTGATTTGTCTGGAATGTTCCATGGTATGACATTAAACATTTAGCATTTATTCATTATGACTCAAAAGTAAAATCTCCACAGATCTGAATTGTAAAGCAGCTCAGTATTGTAACCTGATTGTTAGGGCTGGGTATCATTAAGAAGTTGCCGATATGATACATATCTTGATACAGTGCACTTTCGATTCGATATGATATATTTCAAATCGATTCGATATGGTTCAATAAGAAATAAAGGCTAAATCATGGCTGTGACACTAAGAATCTTTGTTAAACTACTTCTTCTGCAAAGTTCATATGAAACATAAACATTTTAATCATCAAAACAGTGAAAATGTCAAATGTGTCACATAAAAAAGTTTCCTGCCTCTAAACAAGCAACAAAACTGTGGCGTTGTAACAAAACAATTTAGTAAAATACACCAAAAAATACTCTTGGCGATATAGTGATACTGCATCATCACATTAAACAAAACGATATATCGATATTACACTGCTTGTCTCCCTCTTGATAGATAGGTTTAATCTATATTATGAAACAATCTAGACAAAGCAATTACATTTACAAGAAGACAAGCAGGTGGTGGACCCTACATTAGAAATGTACACACTTTTAAATACTAAAGTGCTAATACTATTTGCACGAGCTCACTTGATTAACAAATTCCACAACCAAACCTAATTTTAGGGGTGTGCAAAAATATCAAAATATTGATATACTATATTGTTCAATGTGATACGATGGGCTGCTGTATCGATATATCGCCAAGAGTATTATTTGGTATATTTTACTAAACTGTTTTGTTACAGAGCTACAGTTTTGTTGCTTGTTGCTTTTTTAGAGGAAGCAAACTCTTTTATGCAACACATTTGACATATTCACTGTTTTGATGATTAAAATGTTTGTGTTTCATATTAACTTTTAGAGGTGTGCAAAAATATTGAAATATCAATATATCGTATCGTTTAATTTGATGCTACAGTATCGATATCGTAGGCTGCTGTATCGATATATAGCGAAAAGTAATTTTAGGTATATTTTACTAAATTATTTTGTGTAAGAGCTACAGTTGTGTTGACAGTTTCAATGTTTTGATGAGTAAAATGGCTGATTTTCATAATAACTTTGCACAAACTTAGTAGACTTTTAATATTACACTCACAGTATTGCACTTTTTTTTTTCACAAACTGTGTCAGATCAGTTTGAAATATATCGTATTGAATCAAAAGTGCACTGTGTCGAAAAACGTATCGTATCGAGGCCTATGTATCGAGGTATGTATCGTATTGGCACCCAGCCCAATTAACTTTGCACAAGAAGTAGTTTAACAAAGACTTTTAGTATCACAGCCATGATTTTACCTTTTTTTATTTTTTTTTATTGAACCATATCAAATCAATTTGAAATATATCATATTGAACCAAAAGTGCACTGTATCAAGACATGTATTGTATCTTCACCTATGTATCGAGGTATGTATCGTATCAACAACTTCTTAATGATACTCTGCCCTACTCAAACATTTGGCATAACCTTTCAGAGCGATCCCGAAGCAGTCCCTGGATGTGTACTCTGAGCTTTAAAACCGACTTCCGGGACGCTTTATTAGAATTATATCGGCCCCCCGCTATAAGCCATCAGAGTAAAGTCATGGAGCGTGAAACTACTACAGATACAACAGGCAGTGCAGCGTGTGTAGAAACGTGACTACAGTAGTGGATATCACAGGTTACTCGAGTTCATTGTGACTGCGCTTCTGCACGGCGATGGGGGTGATAGACGGTGATTGAAAGCGATTGATGAGAAACGCGGCAGTCGCTTATAACACTGGAGTGTGTCTGCGATGACGAGGAGACGAGCAGATGACAGGGCAGATCCTTCAGGGCTGGAGGAGGAGAAGAGGACAGGCAGCAGACAGCAATAACAGCGGGAGGACGGCTCGAGGCTCGCGAGGTGTTGTGTTGTTTTGAGCGAGAGATTGGTCAATCTGTAATGAAGTTTAGATCAGGAAAATACACCTAAGGAGAGAAGAGGTGACGATGTTCCCTAACACCTGCCTACATAATATTAGTGGCTATAGTGCAGACAACTTAAGCTTGTAATCGGTCCATTTAATAATATTTAACTTGTCTTAGTCCAATAATGAGATAAGAATCTTTCGTTGCTAGACCAGAGGTTTCAAATGTTTTTTTTAATAATTCCTTGTGTTTAAATCATTATTTGGTAGGAATGTGACAATAACCGAAATATCGTGATATCGCATTGTCAAAGTTATATCAGAATATATCGATTTACAAGTGTCTTTGTTTAAATTAAGAGTTATGGTGCAGCAATAGTTAAAGAAAAAGGCAGAGGGAACTACATAGACCATGATCCTTTGCTCCATTTCAGTGCAGACTACAAGAAGAAATAACCGTTTTAAGCACTTTTAAGTCTTAGTTCTTTGGATTAAGTCTTGTCAAAGCATTTTAAGAGAAAAAAGTAGCAGATTAACAGTTCTGTTAGACTCCACAAAATATCACATGCCTCTTTACACGAGAATGCTTGTAGGTAAAAATGACAAAATATTTTATCAGAAGTGCCTTTTGTTTAGACAGTGACGGCGTTTTTGGGGCTTAAAAACGCCAAAATCTGAAACCACCCTCCAGAGTGGAAAAGTTCAATGCGCTGCACCGTAGTGTTTCCGTCTACACTGCCCAAGATGCAAAACTCTGGTCAGATCTGCTCACGCTGCGTACACGTTTACGTCACATACATACAGTACACAGAGATCTGGCATGCATATCCAGTCGAATTCCACACATTTTGCATCACTGTATGCACGCAGATTTCCTCCTGAAAAGGCTCGTCTAAATGCAGAATAAAAAGTGAAGACGCGGCTTTTGCGTCTTCTGTTCAGACTGTCATCATATAAACGTAGTCGAACACTGGACTCCTTAAATGTTCGGAATTTCATTATGGGGGTGGAGCTTAGCATTAATTTTTTTCCATTTTTTAGCAAATGTTTAATTTTGACCTATATATCTATTTACGCTTACGTCACAAACCAGGAAGACATTTGGAAACATGCAATGCCCGACAGTGTAGTTTCCGACACTGCGCTCGCTGACTGATAAATGTGATCAAACCCACTGAAGTAAATGTGATCAGTGGTAAAATGAAGACTGAATATGTATGTTCTGTTTGGAATCATCTTGAATTTGGCGCCTCGTCTCTTCTAATCGCATCACTGAGGTACGGTTGTAATTGTTGATTAGCCGAACATAACGGAACACTACAGTGACATTTACATGAAGAAAACTGGGACATTTTCTCATTTCTCCTAGATTTTGTCAGACTTACTACTGCGTACAGAGCCTGCCAGAAGTTGTCATCGCATGTTTCCAAACATCTTCCTGGTTTGTGATGTAAGCGTGACTAAAGCCTATTATTTCACTATCAGCTAAAGTTAAGTTTAGAGTTAAGATTAGATTTAGGTTTATAAACAGTTCATTTGGTTTAATTTAGGGTTTAGGGACATCGAACGCTATTTTCACCCATGCAACAGAATGCTGAACATTTTGGGAGTCCCACAAATACACAGGATTTGTAAGCAACATCATGTTTAATTATATGAAGTAGACCAGATTTTTGCAATGCAGTCAGTCTTTAAGATAATAACAACAGTATACACCTACTGTATTTCCTTTTCTAAGACATTTTACTGCCATATTTGTAATATTATATACAGTATTTGCAATTAGGGGTGCACAAAAATATTGAAATAACGATGTATTGTATCGTTTAATGTGATGATACAGTATTGAGCTCGTGGGCTGCTGAAGCGATATATCACTAAGAGTATGTTTTGGTATTTTACTAAATTATTTTGTTATAGTGCTACAGTTTTGTTGTTTGTTTAGTGGAAGGAAACTCTTTCATGCAACAACATTTGACATTTTCACTGTTTTGATGATTAAAATGTTTGTGTTTCATTTTAACTTTGCACAAGAAGTGGATTAACAAAGATGTTTAGTATCACAGTCATGATTTTTTATTCACCCGTATTGAATTGATTTGAAATATATCGTATCGAATCAAAAGTGCACTGAATCGTGATATGTATCGTATTGTGGTCTATGTATCGAGGTATGTATCGTATCTGCAACTTCTTAATGATACTCAGCCCCATTTGTAATGACAGAAAGCCTGACTCAGCAACGCATGAGACGAAAGCAAAAACTGTAAATAGCGATGGTGATTCTGGTGTCAATAGTGCAGCAAAAACTTCATCTGAACAGGTTTAAAATGCGATCTAGGACTTTAATAACGAGCAACTTTCAGCCTTAATGATAACTGCATGGATTATGATTTTAGATGACATTTTATGAGGGAGCCCATCACTTTTCCAGAACATTCTTTGTGTCATATACGCTGATCACAACACCAGACTGACTAACAAGTACTCCAAAAGCAAAAAAGTACAGTAACTATCACAGTAACATGAATGATTTTTGAGTGACTTTCATTAATAACATGACATTTCCAGGTTTTCCACCTGCTTGGATTTAACAATGGCAATGATTTGGACTTGAGCCAGTGCGGGACAAGATGAGAGTCCAGGTGAGTCCACGGGTGAGAGAGCTGATTGATGAAGGTGACATGGCGAGAGATGGTGGGTGGCAGTGGGTGAGATGGGTGCTATGGGGTGCCAGATAAAAGGACGCCTCTTCTCCGCGGTCCCTGTCTGTACCTTGCGCTTGCGTTCAGCCCTCTCCCTGGACCTCCTCCTCCTCTCCCGGGCTTTCTCCAGCGCCTTCTGATCTGGCGTTGGGTCCATCTCTAACCGGGCTTTCTTAATGTGAGCCGCAGCGTGCGCCATGGCTGCTCTCCAACCGTTTACCGTGTCCTGAGAATTCTTGAAAACGAGCAACTAACGCATCTCAAGGTTAAACTCGATGGAAGTTGCTCGAGCGCTCTCCTCCACTCTGCCGTCTGGCCAACTGCATCCCGAGCACGCACGGGTGGGAGAAGGCATACCCAGGCGTGCAGAGGTGGGAGCTCTCGGCCAATCGGAGGGGAGAGACGAGGAGGAAGCCACGCCCCCTTGCTTCCTGAAGCAATGGGAATAAACCTGGTCTTTGATTTGTATTATGCACAAGAGGATTATGAAGAAAAAAACATCGGGGAGGGGGCACACGGTGTGACAGCGCCCCAGAGTGTCCTTTGTAAAAAAAAAAAAAATCTGGCAAAAGGAAGGCGCCACTGTCCAAAAAGTCAGAGGGGGAGACAGTGCAAGGATGGAACAGTCCTATAGCAGATATTTGAGCTTGTAGTCATGGAGAACACGTGTTTAAATTATGCTGGTCTAAAATTATCTCAGCGGTGTTATGGAAAACTGTGATTTATTATGACTAAAAAAGAGAAAAAAGATTGCGAAGCTACAATATAAGCACTGTCCATGGTGCTGGGATTTGCACACTAACTAAATAAATCTACATAACACTTCTGTTTTCAATAATAAAGTAAATTTTGACCAATTTAATGCAAGATAAAGTCAAGAAAATGTAAAGTATAACCTATATTTGGTCAACAATTCGCGTTATATTTAAAATTAGGATGCAATTTTCATATGTTATCGCTTTAGTTCCAAAAATGTGGCAGTAATTTACTCAAAAGTACGCATAAACTCGCTCTTAATAGCAAAAATAATATAAAAAACAAATGCAAAGACGTATTTAAAGCAATATCAGTGTTCGCCTAGTAGTTTCATTGGCTATTTTCATTTTTATCCGCATTTTTATCAACACGTCGACCATTGTACTCCTCATTAAAAGTTAAGTCATGTCCTCTGACTAGACCACAGACCTTTCCAGTATCTGCACACACATAAATATAAATTAAGCGTACATTCACGTTCACCACACGCTAGGACTGCTGCGTTATTACCCAAATGTGCATTAAAATCTAACAGCAATGCGCAGAATCGAAATTGTCTTGTCTCCTTTCTAATCAAATCCTCCTTGAAGACTGTGCAAAGACGTCCACTGCAGTGCTACTACAGCCTCACCCTTCTGGATTTCTGGTCCTGTGGTGCCACCTTATGACGGCAGTGCGAATTGAAGTCACGTTGCACTGTTTTGGAATTTTGTTTTGTTTGTTTTAATCACTGACATTGTAAATCTAAGTGAATATTGTTGTTTATTGCTCTTATTAAAGGTCCTGTATCACACAAACTGACTCTTGTGAGCTTTTAGCCATGTACCTCATCAAAAACAGACCTGGAGTTTGTTTTTTTTCTTTCACACATGTTTGAGTCACCGTTTATTATTAGTCTGTCTACATCTCTGAAGCTCAAGATGCTCTGTTCCACCTTGTGATGTCATGAAGTGATAGTTTTCAAGTTAAAACCCACATTTTCACCTTTTTTACATTTTTTTTAGCAGAGACTGGCACTTCTAGGACTGAAATCATCCAAATGATTCTAGCGAAGGTGTATGAAATTTAAAAACACAATGTACAACAACACTGTACAACTTCTTTTATTATTACCACATGACATCACAAGGTGGAACAGAGTGTTTTCAGTTTGAGAGAAGAACTCATCTGAAATCTGCAGGGTTTGTGTGTTAAACATGTGTGAATAGGGGGGTAACAATATCCAAGTCTCACGATACGATATCGTCACGGTATGAACCTCGCGGTACGATATTTATTGAGATATTTTGAGGAGGCTAAACAGCTAAAACTGTTAATATGCTACTTTTTCCTCTTAAAATGCCTTGACAAGACTTAATCCAAAAGAACTAAGACTTAAAAGTGCTTAGAACTGTTACTTCTTCTTGTAGTCTGCACTGAAATGGAGCAAAGGATCATGGCCTATGTAGTTCCCTCTGTGTTTTTTTAAGCTATTACTGCACCATAACTCTTAATTAAAGCAAACAGACTTGTGATTCGATATATTGTGATGGTCCATGATATTATTGTGAGAACTTTGACGATACAATATCACAATATTTCGGTTATTGTTACATCCTTAAGTGTGAATGAAACAAAACACAACTCCAGGTCTGTTTTTGATGAGGAAACAACATTATAACAGAAATCAAAAAATAGCGTAATATGGGCACTTTAGTTATGCCAGTCTTATAAGAGAAAGGAAGGAAAGGAAGGAAAGGAAGGGCTTGAATTCTCCCTGATAACAGAGGGTTTCCTAATCTGATGGTCTTAGAGTGATTAGCAGACCACCAGCTGCCTACGTGGGCTTAAATCTGAGCGTTAGTCTATAGAACAAAGAAAACCTAAACATATCACCATACCTAGACATAGTCAGTGGTGGAAGAGGTACTCAATTTTTGTTAAGTAAAAGTACAGATACCAGGGCAAAAAAACAAATCAAGTTAAAAGTAAAAGTATCTTATGAAAAAAATCAACTTAAGTAAAAGTACCCGCTTAAATATTTACATAAAGAGTACATTTATTAATTATTCATGTATTTATTTAAAACAAGGGCACAGAAAACATTAAACTCAGAGAGAAAAGATGCTCCGTGCCAGATTTAACTACAAGCTCCTTTCCATATGCAGTCCTCGGGCAGGTACAAAATACATTAAGGAAACTATATATTTCTATACTACATTTCATCATTAACAGTGTCTCCTAAAAATAACCACTATCCAATTCAACAGTAAACATTAAATAAATAAAGTAAAAGTATTTTGCGCAGCTTGAAATGCAGTGATTTTGATAAAGATTTGTGCTGAATTTAGCTCAATAGAAACGAAATGTATCATCTTTTTCCCCCAGCTTTTTTTAATTTGTATATTTTTGTTTACTCAAATTACAAATGTGTTAAAATAAAACCCTAAGCTTGTTCAGCAAGTCTTAAACAATAATAAAACATTACTTTTCAGTCCTGTTAAAAATGCAGTGGAATAGAAAGTATACTAGTAGAAACCTTCTCTCAAATGTAGTGAAGTAGAAGTAAAAAGTATCACCTTTAAAATGTACTTATGTAAAGTACAGATACATCAAAATTATCCTTAAGTACAAGTATCTCACTACTTTTACTTAGTTATACTCTAGAACTGGATATAGTGAAATCAAGATTCATACAATTTGACAGTATTGTTCAATAATGTAAAAATTACGTCACAAAAAAAAGTGGATTGACATTTTTACATTTTATATATATCAATGCAAAATGTAATCGGGACAAGAAAGCAGCTCAGACACAACAGACCGGAACGAGGCTCACTGAAAGTACACTAGCGATGACCTTTGACCCCATGATTAGATCTTGTTAGTGAAGGTAATAAGTTCACAGGGAGGAGAGGGTCAAAAGGAACTGCAAACCCAAACAAAACAGCGACGCAAATACTACAAGTCCTCATTGAATACAACTACAGTACATCCTAAAAATACTACGGCCACAAAAACTTGCTTCTAATTTCTGTTTCTGAAAATGTAAATGGATCTATAATACACAAGTCTGTAGAAGTTACAAAATCCTATGGTAAAAAACTGTAAACAAAATAGTAGTATGACAGTAGTGCCCTCTAGTGGTGTCACAAAGCAGGTGAACTTATCTGAGCAGATCAGTGCATCGTCAGAGCAGAAACCCCAGTGTGTCCAGGTGAAGACTTACCTAAAACACAAGAACAAAAATCACATTAGTATAGAAATTTATGAATATTTGAAAGCATGTTTCACTGCGTCTGTCAGGTTATGGTATTCATAGACAAAATGACTGAACAACAAAGCACAAATGGTTTTACAAAATGAAAGATTTTAACTAAAAATATCAGCAGTCTAGTCTCTACTACACAAATAGTCCGCATTTAAAACAATAAAACTGAAATCAAATAAAAGCATGTAGCAAAACTGACATATAAATAAGTAGGAATCATAAAAAATCATTCAGAAAACAATATCTAGGTAACTTAAAATGACTTAAATTAAGAACATCTGACTTTATTTGAGTCGATTCAACTTAACAAGTAAAATCATTTACCAATGGAATAAGTATTTTTTCCTTAATTCAAGCAACATTCAATTTTGTTTCTTATTTTAAGTGAAGAAAGTTGTTTGTTTCTTTTTTTAATTTTAAGTGTAGCCAGATGTATTTTCATATTTTAAGTACAAAAAATCTTATTCCACTGGCAGATAATTTTACTTGTCAAGTGAAATTTACTCAAATCATGATAAAATATTTTCTAACTTGACTAGATTTAGTTTTTTGCAGTGTAATCAATCATGGGTAATTGATATATAAACTATAAACAACATATCTGTAGTTGTATTTTGTATTTTGACAATCGTAATTATTATCTGGGCTATACAGTCTCTAAAACACAGATATAACAAACACCTACTATAACTGTTTTCTTTTCCCAATAATGCATCGAGAAGACTTCATTTCACTTCAGTCATCATATTTTATTTTGTTAAAAATATGTTTAAAAAGTTGTAATATAGAACACAGATAATCTTTGTTTAGTTGACTAATCCAAAAAAGCAATATTGTTAACTACAACTATCGATTACTAAAATAATCGTTAATTGCAGCCCTATTAAGAATCATTTTTAAAATATTGAAAGACACAGAGGATTAATCCAAACAAAAATACACTGTATAGTCTAAACAAAGTATATTCAAACCAGTTTTTTATAAATAGCAACACTGGTATATATTCTTTTCCTCATATCATAAAAAGCGATTGTTTTACAAAGCATCATATTAAACACTTTTAAACTAGCAATATGCAAAATAACTTTTATAATGAAAGCAAAACATTGATATACGATACATTGCCAATGCAATACATATCTCGATACAGTGAGGTATGATTTGATACGATTCGATAAAAACTAAAGGCTAAA